TGGGACCGTGGGAGATGATTCTCTGCAATGCTCGGGTACGAAGGCCTGAATTGGCTGGTATGGAGAATACTTAGCGATGGTATCGCAAAGTCAATGATTAGATAGGCATCTTGGTATCATCTCATTGCCGTCAATGTAGAGGATTGTAGAACGGTGTATATCCGATGTCGCCCGAGTAGAATGTTCGTTCGCCAATCATGCGAGCCTTGCGAGCGGCTCGAAGAGCGTCTGTAGTCAACCCACCTTCGACCTTCATTTGATGTATCCTGACCAGCTTGTGGTCCCGAGTGAACACATAAACGCCCTTTCCTTTATCCAATTCGATTGGAAGGGCGCTGTCCACGAACGGAAGGCCGGGTACGACCGAGAATTTATCGCAACCTTTCAGCAAAGGTACTTCTTCAAACTCAGAGAATATGACGCGAAGATTTTGGAAGCCGGGCTTCCCACCAGAAGTGCCGTTGGCAACTAAGGACTTGCTCCAAAGCGGGCCTACCACATGATGTCTTCTCTGGATTTCATGCAAGGTCCACTTGGTCCAGTCGATATGCCGGTCTTCTGGCATGATCTTTGCAGCATGAATCAGAGTACCAACCTCCGCTGAAGAGCTCCGGCCTACATCTTGCAAAGGGGGGACGAAAAGTCCCTTTCGAATACCTTCCACGAGAATTTCCGCGCCCTTGGGGGCGACGACATCTAGCAGTTCCTGAACCGTGCATGAATCTGGGTTCGGTATGTCGAACCCTGGGAACGGAGTCTGCGCTAGAATAGTACCGTGGTCGAAGTGCTTCAGATGTAGAGTTTGCAATGTGACGCCAGTTCTGGTTCTATTGTGCAGGAGTGTGTGGTGTAGCGGTGCGGGACCGCGGAAGCTGGACGTTCTCATTAGCAAGGCTGGATTTACTGCTTACGATCTAGGGAGATGTGTACTCGGGGAGTAAAGAGGGGTGCACATTGAGACCTCCATATTTAGCACCATTGATAATCCGAGGAGGCACAAACAGCCCGAACGAGACAGCGACAATCAAATTGATAGGCCCTTTCGGCAGGACAGGAGGCTACCAACAGCGTTAGCAGACATGTTCTGGAGCTATCAAAAGTTTTGAAAAGTTACCGTCCATCCCCGGAAAGTGTCAATCTCATGGATAGGAAGCGCTAAGTCTGTTGCGGCTGCTTTGATAGGGACTGTTGCGATCCACAAGCATGTCAGCCGGAAGTATTCCGATCTGTTTCTCATGCGCAAACATACCTTCCTGGATTTTCTTCAACCCTCGCCCGACCCTCTTACCGGGTCTACAGACGATATCAATGGAAGCGATCCGGTCCGGTCGCGAGAGATGTTCGGCATGGAGCGCTTTCAAGGAAGCAATACTGAATTCATCCGAACCGCAGAAGAGTATGCGGAGAGGGTCGTAGGCTTTGGTCGCCAAGTATCGATTCGCAGAAGGGAAAGCATAGAGGGTGGGTCTGAATCCGCACAGGGTCCCTGGGCCTCGGAAAAGCAGCATAGCATGCATCTGATGCTCCCCACTGCAATGGGGTGCCTGAACAATCTACTATGTATTATTTTACACTATTTCGTTGCTGTAGCTTCGGGAGAATCGCCGAACGCCGACACGTGATGTCACCGCCTTCCCACCACTCTCCCCCAAGGAGAGAGTTTCGATCAGCAACAAACGATCCATGATTATCTCTTGCTCCGCAACGACGCTACTGCTCGGTACTCTCAGTGATACAGAGCTCACATGTCGATGGCGCAATGCCTGATAATGCCTCTGCGTCGGTGATTCCTGCACAACTCTCTTTCCTCACCATCTACAACCCTCGCCTCGGACCGACAGACGAAACAATACAGGATCAGATCGTCTTCTATACATCTAGGTCAGATCGTTCACAGCAGCGCGATAGCCCACTCCCTGAGGAGAGTGTCAATAACGGGCCTAATGACGACCTAAATGATAGGTTGCGACAGATAGGATTGGCCCAGGGAATAGTAGGCTTTGCCAGGTAGGTGAAGCCGCTATCAAGGGTTAGTCAAAGGTTCAAGGGCTGATCTGGAATACCAGGAACTTCTCAGAGGGCAAGGCCGTAGAATATGTGGAAACAGAGAAGTCGCAGATTATCTTGCACGAGCTTGAGCAGGATTGGTGGATCTTAGCAGTGGGTGACCTATGTCGCCATATGTCATAGATAGCTGCTGAGATCTCTCTAGTCTGTTGATCTGACTCGACTGCCAATTGATCCGGCTACTCTCCCCCAGAACGATGGTTCGGCTACACCAAAGCTCACATACTCATCAAGGGAGATGTGCCCCCCACAGCTCTTGATACAACAAATGCGCCGGGCACACTCCATCTTCCTTCTACACCACCAGTTTACGCTCGACGCCCTCTACGATCACGTTGGCAGGTCCAAGTTCTGTGATCTCCTCGACAGCTTCTGGTGGCGATTCGCCTGGAGCTGGGAAATGCTTCTCAGTGGGAACCCGGTGGTCGATATGTATGATGGTATCAAGCTCTCTGCTGGAGGTGAGCTTGGGGTCGGCGTTGGCGAGGAAGAATGGGGCAGCGGGGAGAGAGAGGTCTTGGAGGACTTTGTTTCTAGGACGGATGGACTTGTAGATATGATTGTCTCGCGGTTTGGAGACTCTTCTACATCATCGAGGGAGTCTGTCTCGGAAAATAGAGGGTCAACCTCCAAGGGCAAGAGTGAAAACGCTGAATCCTGGCTTGGTGCGGACGTTGCCCCAAAACCTTCAGATGGAGTCATATTCTCGGGGGTTGGCGCTCTCTCCAGACCCTCTGTCGTGAGAGTCTCTCAGTGGATGGAATGGATTTATAGATATGGCGTTGACGCGTACGCAGTGAGCGAAGACCCGGCTTGCCCGCGCCGGCGGAAAAGACGAAGGAAGCATCGGAGAAGGCTTCCGGTGGGGAACGAGACTGACCGTCAAGCTGGATCTGTTGTCAAGCCTGTTGATCATGCAACTTTAGATCGTTCCTTTTCTCCCGGAATACCTCGTCCGCTTGTGGTAGGAACATCAGACGCTTTACAGCCGCCAGCAGAGTCCGGTGTGAAAACAAGCTCTATCACCAGCAGCAGTGAGAGCTCGTCAGCACGGAGTGACCGGGCAAATGACTGGGCGATGCCCGGCTCGGAAACATTAATGAAATACCTCACTCTCGGATATGCTTCATCTTGGGGCCCATCATCCAGAACAGGGAGCCCACATCCTCGCATCGAAGCATTGAGGCGAGAGGACGACTCCTCAAGCCCGACTCACCATGTGAATCCCCCTACTAATTCTGCAGAATCAACTAAGGGGGACACTGCTGATATCGAGGATAAAATGAAGCTCAAGAACACTGGTCGGTTCCTCATCGGGTTCCACAATACGTCAAATCTCAGCACCACGGACAGACTTCAAGGAGACAGTGAACCATTGAACATGCTCACTGCAGATTCGAGTCATGTAACCGACCAAAGAACATTGCACGTCCGATTGACGGTCCCCTTCGAAGAAGCTGTTCCTCTAGACGAAACTCCAACTGGTAAGCAACTCTGTTCTGAGAGCAAGTGGAACTACTCAGTGGCTGATCACATGCATACTAGGCTCGGTGAAGTTGCGAACAGTTGTCTACGTAGTATGTCGTGCCTTATACCGATATTCTCCTGGATGGTACACTGACCATTCCGTAGCACCAACCATTCATATACACGTTCCTCTACGATCCTTCCACCCCCTCTCTATCCCAGCCATCCTTCTACCACGAACTCTGCAGCCAAATGAGCATCCTCCACAAATCGCTGTGCAACTCCACGTCACCCGCTACTGCAGCGAAGCGAATCGCCGTATCCGACAGCGCGTTCGAGGTGAACAACCGATTCACAACCCCCAGCCAGCCGGTACACAATCTCGTGTACGATCCTACCAACTTAACAATCCGCTCCTCCATTCCCAACATTCCGGAACTGGGAGCTCCGAGCACCATTGAACCTCAAGATCGCACGATGCTACCGCCATGGACGCGGGTTGAGAGCCTCAACATCCACCACCGACTGCTAAGCACATACGCGGAAACGCGCTCTCGGCCCTTGGAGGTCGAAAGAACCTGCAAGACCAGTCGCGGCTGGTGGATTGTGTGGATGCGGCTGTCTGACAGTCCCCTATCTCCACCAGGACCAGAAGATGCTTCTGTTACCGGGACGAGCACGAGCACACCAGCCGAAGCCAACATCGGCAGTATTGACAATGGTGGTGGTGGAGAGGGAGCTTATGGAGGTGCCACGCAGCAAGAGGCTTTCCTCATTCGGCGATCAAGCGATCATATTTCATCAGGACATGTCCGCAGCGGTAGCGGCTCCAGATTCTTTCGGGATCTCGGAGGCGCCTCATCGCCAGGTCTGCAAGCGGCAAGGACTGATACAGGCCCAGCGAAGCTCGTCGAGGGACTGGGCCTCGATGCCAGACGGTATATTGGCAATCTATTAAGTTTGAATAGGTAGATCTGGCGATGGACACCGGGGGAAGGGGTTTTTTGCTCTTACGTAGGCCTACCTCCAGCAAATCCACAACGTATACCTCTCCACACACATATGCTAAATAAGCTAAATAAGCTCATTAAGCCGTCTCCATGCCGCGGGCCTCGGACCTTAGTGGTCTCTAATTAGATAGAGAACCACCATAGGCAACTGAATTTCATAAATAGCTTCAGGCAGACATGCTCCTCGGTAATTCAGCACATGAACCAAGCTTGGCCACAGTTGCGATTCCTGAGACCATCTTATCGACGGTGGATCTCGTACTAATGTCATGATCAGCATTCCTCCCTCCGCCTCGTCACCCGTCCACTTTCCTTTGTTCAGGAGATACATACAAGCCACAGGGTCCACTCATATGTCCCCACTCGAAAGGAGGGAATAAAAGAGTCCCAGTATGTGCTACATCACCCATGGACTTACTCATACCGATACAGGGTCGCATACTCACTACCCTGCAGGGTACGATAATAGCTACATGTGCTCAACATTTGAGTCACGATGATGCGACGTGGATTGGATTCTTTCTACCGAGGAATTCATGGTCCAGCAACCAACAGATATTGTTGAGCCTAGTTCGCATGGAAAGGAAACATTGGGCGCATGCAACCGAGAGCATGGCAAGGATAAGTACTGCAGTGGTCAAAAGACAATGAAATAAGGATGAGTTCTGCTTCAAGATTCTCTTTCTTCATGGCTTGACATCCGCCGCGAAAGACACATGTATAGTTATTAAGATCGCGTGACTGACAAGATAAAGGAAAACAAGGGGAAATGGGGGGAATGGGTTCAAACCCAATGACAATTCCATGCATTCTCTTTAACCGAAAATAAACAAACAAGGATAGCAGATTAGAACACAGCAAAGTGGGGGAAATCTGATGATGATGATGATGATGATGATGATGAGACTGTGCTGGGGAAGATCTGATAGGCGAGGCAAAGAACATCTGGCCCATCGTGGAGATTTGCATATTGTCTCGATAACCAGACCATTTCTTCCAGGAGTTCGATGCAAAGGATCGATGCGAAAGGGATAGAGCTGTGCATCAACTTGCGCTGCTTTGAACCTCCATAACCCGCTGCAGCGAGGGCCTCTTTCTGCTGGCAGCAACCCGGCGCCCAATTGTCATAGTGGATGATCGCGAACCGCCCCGGAGGCGCCTAAGAGGAGCTGGAAAATAAAAGATAAGAAAACCCACAAGGTTATGAAGACAAGACAACGCCTCCCTAGAAAATAATGTCTGCAAAACAAGAAAGTCGACCAACTGCATAGCCAGATAATCCCATAAAGCTCGTGTGCCCGTGATTGAACATTATCCACACTCGCATCCAGGCACAGATTGGAACACGCCAACGGAGGACCCCTTGGGAGTAAAATGATAGAAACCAAATATTCGAGACGCTTATCCGTTCATATAATCTCCGCACGAAACAGACCTTTTGCGAAGGAAACAACTAGTTTACAGGATGGTGCACTTCTTCTTGCTCTTGTGGGCCTTGGTCAAGAGCGCAGCCCGGGTAGCCGCCTCAAAGACCTCACGAACGCCCTCGTTGGTACGGGCAGAGCACTCGAGGTACTTGTAGGCACCGATCTTCTTGCGAACCTCCTCACCCTAGGGGAAAGTCAGCGATCAATTCAAAGTCAGCTGAATTAGCGCGCCCGATGGACTTACCTGCTCAGGGGTAACCGGCTTCTGAGAGGTCTTGTGGAGTTCTTCAATGGTCTTGGGGTCGTGACGGAGATCCATCTTACAGCCGACGAGGATGATAGGGAGACCCTGGCAGAAGTGCAGAACCTCGGAGATCCACTGCAAAATCATCAGCATGTTGATCGCAGATAAGCTTGACATGCGCAGGCTTCATCCTCAAGGTCGAAAATGGGGGAATGGCTCACCTTCTCCTGAACGTTGTCCAACGAGTCAGGGGAGTCGACAGCAAAGCAAATCAGGATAACGTGAGAGTCGGGGTATGAGAGAGGGCGAAGACGATCGTAATCTTCCTGACCAGCAGTATCCCAAAGAGCGAGCTCAACGTGCTTGCCATCGACCTCAACATCGGCAACATAGTTCTCGAAGACAGTGGGGACATAGACCTAGGGCAGCGTTTTCAGTTAGTCCGATAGGAACGGAAGGTTGGATGAGCAGTTGCATGGTGATTTCGCAGCGAGCGTGAGTAGGACAGGAGACAACAGCGTGAAGACCCAGGCAAGGATAGGAGACGGAGGCTAACCTCGGGGAAAGTGCCCTTGGAGAAGACACTAGAAGGAGAAAAGATGTAGAGTCAGTATGTGCCATTTGGCCCCTTGGACGGGGGGAGGGTGACCAAAGATGAAGAACTTACATCAACAGACAGGTCTTACCACAGGCACCATCACCAACGATGACAAGCTTGCGGCGGATCTCAGCCATCTTTATGGAGGGATGAAGATCAGCAAACGGAAGAGCAGAAAATAGGTTGATTCAGCGGTATGCGACAACAAGGGAAAAAAGTATGCGTAGTGGAGAAGAGGAAAGGAAAAGAGAAGTAAGTAGTTGATGGAATTTGGATTTGAGAGAGGGGAAGGGGGGAGTGTAGCAGGTGGAGGGAGGTGGAGGTTAAAGGTAGAGGAAGAGAGAGAGGGTGAGTAAGTGAGTGAGTGAGAGAGTGAGTGAGTGAGAGTGAGAGAGAAAGGGACAGACAAGTCAGGCGCCCGAAGAAAAAGGGTTATCACGTACGGTGCACGGGAGTAGGCGCAACGGGCGCGGATTAAAATATGGGAGGGAGAGTAGGGGGTGGGGGGTGGAGGGCTGTAGAGGAAACAAAAGAGTCTAGAATTAAAAGAATAAACCCAAACGATGAGTTTAGCAGAGGAATTACGGCAGTAGAAGCGTCCCTTGAGTTAAGAGAGGTTATCACGTTGGAGAGGTGATGAAAGAAGAAGAGGAAGAGAGGAGGAAAGCGGAAGAAGAAAGGATGGGTTGATAGACAAGAGGATGAATGATCAGACAGTGAGTGAGTGGTGTTGGTGGTGGTCGTGGTGGTCGTGGTGAGTGCCTGTAAGCACTGCTCCTACAGTACGAAGTACGGAGTACTGCTCTGTTGCTGCTCCTACCTAGTACTGCCTATACTGCTCCTGGAATACTACTACAATCACAACTACCACCACCACCACTACTGCTGGTTGCCCATTGCTTGCTACATTTGTTTTGGACCAGTTTTGGACCAGTTATGGCCATCCATCGGCGGGTTGGCACTCTGCCTATCTCCTGTATATTCCTCCTGCCTCTTTCATGTCTATTCCTTGAGGCTCTCTCCCCCCCTGTCTAATCATTGCAGTATCCCCAATACTAAAACAAGCTGAAACAATCCTTCCCCAATTCAGTGGTCAAATGGCTATGAATGTGGCTGTGACAAACTGTTTATACTTTCCCTTTTCCCCCTTCTCTATTTGTTGCCTTTCCTTCATTGTTATCATCTTCCTAGTCCTTGCTCTTCTTTCCTTCTTGTCATTACTAGCATTGTAGCCAACGGGATACTTCTGATTGTCCGGTTAGTCGGCTGCAACCTCTTTCGTTAATAAAATCTTTTTTTGTTCTTTGATGAGTATTCTGCCTTTCTGTATCACTAAGAAGGCTGGCTGTATCCGGGAAAGAGCCACGTTACGGTCCTAAGAACTGATGGAAGAATACCGTCGATAGGCTACCTCCTAAAAACCGTACTCCTTTTCCATGATCCCCGGTCTTTCTTGATCTAGTCGCCTATTTTTCGCATCCACTAAACTTGTTTAACTAGTTATGTTGTCCGGTCATTTTTGCTTACTTAGCTGCCTAAGCTGCTGCCTTCATTCCGATTAAAAGCCACCGTGGCTGAAGAGACGGGAGCCGGGAGCCAATGGTGACCTACGACTGACTGCCCAGTATGGTATGGTATGATACCGGACTTAACTCAATCAAACTGGTACTAGGTAAAATTCCTGTCTGTGGTCAGCCAGGACTATGTAATTTACTAGATATACTTATAGTCGGTAAATACTGGGTAGTAGTTATTATTGTCGACCAATCCAGCGAGATTTTTCCTGCTTTTATTAGCTGGTCCTTTATTTTATGGCTTACTCTTGCCTGAGAATCTATTCCCCCCGTTCCGCTCCGGCTACAACAACTAGTTAAGCCGTATGTCGTCATCTTCGCTATCTGTCGCCTGTTCGACTCTCGTGGAAGAAATATGTATGTATGTAGGTTGAGAAGTAAGTCTCTAGACAAGGGCACGATTCTTTCAAGAAAACTCAGCTTCCATCACTCGGTACATTTTTGAAAACCATCACTAGTATTTTTGCGACATTGAACTTTCACAAGATCCATCTTTAGTTACCGTCGCTGTCCTCCAGGCTATCTACAGAGAGGCCTAGACGCCAGTCGGCACACTGGCGGGGAATCAACGCTATAATGCATGTTGGCAGGGCTCTGTAGTTCATACTCCAAGCGGAAATCACCGAATGCCCTAAATAGCTGGTGTCCAAGCTCGAGCACAGCTAGACAGCCTCTTCTGCATTAACGTCCAGTCTAACCAACCTCTAGTATTCACCTGTTTTACATGCACCAGGAGAGTGATTGGCATGAGTATGTTGTCAACCAGAAACTCTGTCGGCTTTTAGCAGTGATCACCGACTTTCTTTCAACTGTGTGTGTCCTCACTTGAGAGGCATGGGGACTGTATGTATCTTTGCCTGCTCAGTATGAATTACCGAAAGTCGAATACCCTGGCAGATTCGCGTTCCGCTCGCATTTACCGATTCCCGAGCTAGAGACAAGTGGCGGTGCAAGTGATCTTCAATGCCTTCCCCCCCTGAGCATGCTGCGATTACATGAGTAGGCACAGTACGTACTCTCCTCCCTGGTCAACGTCATCAAATGGGACCAGAAAATCACCCTAGCAAGCGCGACCCCATGAAGCATATTCTCATTTTTGTGACGTGCTCCTTATTCCTATGCAGCTTTCAGTACGAACCAATGCACTGCAGGCATCCTTTCATGGTCATGGCGGTCGACTCAATTCGCATTGTTGACGTTGTAAGTAGAGAGCACTGTACTGTACTTTTTACTGCATGTCCATGCATACATACAGTACATTACAAGTTTCGACGACGAAGCTATAATACCCGGGTATAGCCTTGCCATCTTTCAGCCACAGATAACATAGCAGCAGCAGCAGCAGCCTTGCAGTAGGGACTTGTTGTACGGAGTAGCCATCGTACATATGCACAACGTGATCGTCACCGAGTGGCTCGTTTCCAATCAGAATCGCAGGGCTGTTGCGCTAATGCTGTGCCAGTTCTAAGCTGAGTGCTTGTTGATTGGTGCTCACTGAATTGACCATCTCCTAAACATTCGGTGAAGCTGCTTGGACCGTGACATTTGGTTGAGGCGGAGGCGACCCTCGTGAACTCTATACATCGATCACAGCTGCAGCTGGGGAGGAAAGAGGCTAGATCACTGCTGGGGATGATGATCGGGCCTATATCTGACAGCCTCTATGGTAAGCAAATCTTGCAACTTGTGGGGGGGGGGGGGGGGTCTGATGTGTTGTCGACTGTCTTCCTACGGTTGCCACTATCCAGCGTGGTTTACACGGACAAGCTTGACGATCGAGCCATAACAAGCCATGCGACCTCGTACCTACTATGTAGGTATCACCTGTCAGATGTATGGCGAATAAGATGACATTACTTTCCTCGGTTTCCCTCGCATCTATCTGCCTTGGACCTGTGACGGATACGCTATTCGCATACACTGTATGGCTTGGCCACTATCGAGTGACAACTACTCTTAAGGAACTGGATCCTGTCCAATTCTCCTCTATGCTATCGCAAGAGCCGATTCGTTAGTTGAACCGAACTCCTAGGCTGTTAGCTTAGTAGGCTCTGCAGTCGACTCTTTAATGTGTCAGGTTAGAGCCTTTGCTACCATGATCCGTTCAATCTGGAAAGTGGACGTATAATGGATTGAGGTGAAGACCCTTCGACCCCAGGTTTAGTTAGTATCATATCTTTTCAAGGTTCCACGGTACCCGCGCAGCATCTAGATAACGATTATACTGCCTACTTTCCCATCTTGAGATTGAATGTTGATACCTATAGTATGGTATTCTCTCTCTCCATCAGCTCAGAAGTACACATGATTGACATGCCTGGCTTCCTGACTTCGAAAACCACAATCAACATAGCCTGAAAAGCATCCATCAAAGATCACACTCAAGATTGGCGACTTCCGATGTAATTACTTGTCCTAGATATAAAATGGTAGCTCTACATGAGGTACTCACATAAGTATACTATGTACTCCGTAGCTATACCGAGTACCTACTAATAGTCGTGGTACTAAGTTGGTACTAGGTAGTCAACTTGAATGCCCAGACCGATCCCGACTGAAATGGAAGGTATCGAATCTGATTGGTGGTGGTCCCCGGGTAGACACGTGACTGCAACAGGACCGCAATTTTCCCTTCCCCGACATTCAATCTGGCCGCGATTCAGTGGGAAAGGACGGCCATTGTCGGCATCGCAAACCGATCACCATGCAGAAAGTCATTCAGAGAACGGCGCAGGCCCGGAACCAGGCCACGCGTAAGGCCATCCGGGCGGCCAAAGTTGCGGAACGCGAAGAATACAAGGACACTCTCCGCCAGCGTTTCGCCTACAAGCGCATGGAGCTCGACAACCTCCGCGAGGAAAGGCTCCGTCGCCGTGAAGATTGGATGCGTGGACCTCTAGCCCCCCAGCGTGATGCCGCTCTCTCAGGAAGCAAGTTCGGCGCCCTGACTCCGCAGGCATTGAACCCTCCGACCGTCCCCAAGCATCTCCGGAGGAAATACATTAACATTGCGGCGGGAGATCGGGTGTGTGTTATGAAGGGCAAGGATAAGGGCAAGATCAACGAGGTCATCAAGGTGGATGCCAGCAACGAGACGGTGTTGGTGAAGGACCTCAACATGGTACTGTTTGCTCCTGCTCGATCGCGGATTGTCTCACTCGACTGACTGCTGCCCCAACCTCAAAACAGGCCGATATCTACTTTCCCGAGTGGATGACCGACCAGTATGGAGAAAAATCCCCCTTCCAGTCTGTCAGCATTCCCTTGTCCTTGGACGATGTCCGCCTTGTGGTCGCTCTCGATGACCCCATTACCGGTCAAACGCGAGATGTACTGGTGGAGCATGTTTATGGCGGAGGGCCCATCCTCGAACGTGGCTACGGAGTCGAGACCCCTAAACACACCAGATATATCGCCGGTGAAGACATTGAGATCCCCTGGCCCAAGGCCGAGCCCCCAGCGCCGAAGGACGAAGAGTGGGACACCCTCCGTATGGAAGTTGAGACGCCAACTTGGCTGCCATCGCTTCAATTCGCGCCTTTCCCCGCATCGGTCATCAATGAGCTTCGCAACCCGTACTCGAAATACCGAACCAGACACGATCCTGAGTGGGTGGAGAAGAAGATGATGGAAGACTACAAGCGGGAATATCTTCAAAGTCAGACTTTGTGGACCCCCCTGGTTCGCCTAGATACCTCGAAAGTCGCGCAAGCAAGGAATCAAAAGCCCTCACAAAAAGCCGGTGGGACTCGCAAGATGGACAAGAAGACAAGAGGGTTCATCGAGGCTTTCTTGGAGAAGAAGCAGGCGGCCACGACGAACGCCTAAGCACCTGTGGTAATAAATATGCCATTGGCCACTGACGAGAGCAATGGCAGCTTCGTGGTGGTCCTTTTTTTTTGTTTCCCCCTTTTCGCGACGTTATTTCTGGGTTCCACGATGAGTGTACATTAGTGCTGCTTGTAGCATAGAATATGACTTGTATTAAGATCATCAACAATCAAGAGTGGTGAAGGAGGTTGAACTAAAGAATCCTTGACTGCATTAACATGATAATGCCTTGGGACAACCATTGCACCAATAAAAGGATGTTCAGCAGAGACTAGGAAGAACTCTTCATTTCAGGGCGATGAATTTTCCAGTATGCATTTGGTGCGCGCACCCGATCGACCAAGCCGCCAGGGAGTGCAGTCCTTTTCTTTCATCTTACTTAACCAAAAACTACTTACCTCCACCTCCACTTACCTACCTTGCTATTCAAAGCGCATCGCAAATCTCGGTTTTGTCCGTGTCATGCAATATCCTCCTTGTCCTTATTGAATTCATATATTATTCATCACCGGCTTATCATTATCAAGCTTGCTACACTGTATCTATCCATTGATCGCATCCATCGATCCTCCTCTTCCTCATCATGGCATTTGCCACAATAAACTCCTCATCTTCAGCTCCCCCACCGAGGAGCTCCGTTATTGATGATGCCTTTGCTGCCGAACCTGCCCTTAGGAAACGTGTTTACGATGCGATCGGTACGTGGAAGACTGTCGGTCACTGCAAGAACCATTCACCATCCCTCTCCCCGCCTCCAAACCCCCCACATCAACGCTCGCAATGGGCCCAAATAATTACGCTCAAGACTCGAAAGCACAGCATCATTAACTCACCGCCCGTTGACTTTATCCTTCCTCTAAACAGAACATACCCCGCAGTATGCGCCGCTATTTGAAGACGTTGCCAAATATACATCCAGCCTGCTGGCCAGGTCTGTCGCCCACGCCCGCGTTCAACCCATCGAGGCCGTCAGCGACGACGGCCCAGCGGCGAAGAAACGCAAGACCCAAAATGGTGGGGATGATCATACAGCTGCCGCTGCGCAGCAGTCCCCGGGCGACTTGAAAGCCGACGCACCACTACAGTTCTACATGCAGGATGTTTCCTTCGCTGTGCCGCAGCGGAAGAAGCTTACCCTGGAGATCACTGCTGGGGGTGGATTTCTTCGTGCAAGGAATCAGACGTCGAAAGAGGTGGAGTTTGGGGTGGAGTTGGATAAGATCCGTGAGTTGCCTTCAACACAAGATCATTTGCTGCGTTGCTAATGTGTGCTCGTGCCGTCACTAGAGCACGTTCTGTGTCTTCCGGTTCCGGAAAAGAACCAGCGACAATTCAATTTCTGCATTATCCCCCGATATAGCGATGGCATCAACACTCCTCCGGGAGGTGTCGCTGCTTCTGAATGTATTGTGTGGACGGTGGCCGATGGGCCGCCCAAAGCAGCGTTTTTGGGAACCGGTCAGCAGCTGGGGACCACTGAGGGCGAGAGCGCGGAGAAGGTGGTTCAACAGGTATTGAACGATAATTTGGTGCGGACCAAGGTGATCCGTCCCGATGAGCGGCAATTTGTGAGCGCAATTCCGGAAGCTCATCGGAAGGGGGAGAAGGCCTTCCACGTCAAGGCCCATCGCGGGAGTAAAGATGGTATCAAACACCCTCCTGCAGTGGTACAGCTTGTTCTTTTGACTAACGGCGATTCACTGTAGGTTATCTTTTCCTTCTTTCTACCGGGATCCTGTTCGGCTTTAAGAAGCCGTTGATATTTTTCGCCTTCGAGAACATCGATTCGATCTCCTACACATCTGTCCTGCAGCGAACCTTTAATCTCAACATCCTAGCCCGTCCGTCTGCCAGCGATGAGACTCAGGAAATTGAATTCTCCATGATCGACCAGGCCAATTTCTCTGCAATTGACACCTATATCAAAAAGCACGGCCTGCAAGATGCTAGTCTCGCAGAAGCCCGCCGGGCGAAGCGATACAATGTCAATGGTGCCAAGACCGGAGATGATGCCACCACCAATGCAGAAGGGATTGCTGAAGTAGAAGAAGAAGAGAGTGAATTGCAAAAGGCACAACGTGAGCTTGAAGACCAAGAGGATGAGGATGAGGAGGACTATGACCCTGGCAGCAGCAGTGACGATGGAAGCGGCAGCAGCAGCAGCAGCAGCGAGGAGGACGACGATGACGACGACGACGACCAGGATGAGGATGAGGACGAGGATGAGGACGGTGAGGATGATGGTCGCGATCTTGTGGCGGAAGAGCTCGGCAGTGAAGCCGAGGATGTCCCAGCCGAAGAGTTGTAAGACCTCGCTTGTCGGACCCTGTATAGATAGATTGTTACCACCGCCAGGCCGGCGCAACGCGGGCCCGATTGATTTGCCTTCAGCGCTAGCCAGACACGTTCAGCCGTCGAGCTGCACGCGGTGAGAACCCGCTGGAGAGTGTTGGTCATAGACTGTGTGTCTTTGCCTATCTAGCATAGAGTATCTAACTGATAGCCTTGCTGCTTATTGGGACCGAGCCTTGCACACGTCGGATTGCATCTGACATGGGGAAAGCCGTTTCAAGACTGCATAAGAGACGTTTCAGATAATGGGGTTTGACACCCAATAAATTGTGGATCCTGGATGTGTCAGATGCATCGCGCCATCATCAATTGAGGTGTGCCACTGCTGCTGTGAAGTTGGAAGTATTGGCAACAGAATGAAGCAGGAGGACTAGGAGCTACGGAGTACTCCGTACATCCTTCCAATTGCGCTAGACCTTGATGTCGGCAGATCTGTCCCGTCGCAATGGCCGTGGTCTCCAGATATTGAGCCCTAAAGTACTTACTACATAGCATGCACAGTAAGTGAGGTGATGATTGGTGATGCTCAGAGCCTCAGGTACCGTTGACAGGTTCGTATTCCACACGAAGCTAACCTGGTTAATCTAGAGTAGTGTGGTTCGTGACCATGGAGAGGAAGGGGGGCCGCGGTTAACAGTTGAGTAAGTGACTTGAGAGAAAACAAAGTGTAAGAAGAACGGTAATGATACCTTTTCACAGAACGATTATTGGGAACTCTCTAACAAGTCATCACTGATACTTAGAAACTCGTACTACTACTAGGTAAGGCTACTGAACTACTTGTTTCGTACGGTATAGTACGGAGAAACTAGAAAGAGACTCCATTTTAGGTCGCAACTCCACCGGCTTCCCCTCTTGACTAACCGGGACAGTCGTAGCTCCAGACCCTAAGCGTGGTGGCCCCCTCTTCTTGCTCCTCCCCCCCCCCCAAGGGCGTAGTCAGGACTGGTCAGGGGTGCAGTGCCAGCGCAGTGAGCATCCATCAAGCCATGTTCTTCCACCTTCCCCTTAGTCTAGGCTAACTTATCGCTTTTCTTACCGATCACCGCCTCAGGGCTTCAGGGCTTGATTAATTGAAGTTCGGGAAACTCAGTCAGATATACTCTGCTCCGTACATATGGCGCTTACGGACTTGTACAAAGTACTTACTTCATCTTGATGAGTTGCTGGTTGACAGCTACAATTAGTTACGGGTCATACTTGGGTCTTGGGTGATGCGGGATTCTGCGATTGGCCTGACCTACACTACAAGTACATGCTTATCTGTCCCTGGGCATTGAATACTGTATACACAATCCATGTCTACAGAGTCTTCGTTCCAGCATACTTTACTTATTCACCCATTTATGTATTTCATGGATTCTGTTCATTCGTTTCTCTTTCCTCTTTGCTTGCCAGCAACGGCTCGGCTCTCCGGAGCGCATAGCGCTTGCCCAGTACCAATTATAGATGGGGGTTATTTCATCGAGATTAATTTGAAATTTAAAATGATAATAAGATCAATGGCAATAATCCTACACATAACTACCCATCACTCTTCCGAGACTCACTGATCGGATAACCGATCGATAGGTACTGTACCTGGCACTAAAGCACATAACAACCCACCCACTGGCACTACGTAACTAAATCCGACCAATTCTCCATAATCTTGTTAAAATACGGACAGGTATCCATCCATCTGTCCATCCTCATTCCCCAGCCGTACCGGTTCCTGTCGGGTATGATTACGGGCGTCACAAGCCCGCAGGAAAACTAGAATCCAGTCACTGTAGTAACTAACCCCCAAAAATTGTATGTAAGGTTTGCTTCGACAGGGAATTAAGATTTGGGAAAATCACTTGAGATGAATGTTGTTGCGCTTTGCTCTAGTCCGCAGCACATTGGTTCCTTCAGGTTTCCATCTTCCGACCCTCATTCCTGGTGGCATCATGCCGGCCGACGCCTAGTTGCTGAAGAATTGCTCTTGTTTGCAATCTCGCCTTCAAAGATGGCTAGAACCCTCCGAGGGTGGGAGCTGACCAGACCAGACCAGACCAGACCAGTGAGAGACAGTGGCGCGTCTAACGGATTAATATGTCGTCGAGCCATTCTCCATATATAGAGCTAATTTGGCCTAGAGGCGCCGCTAGTGACTCCGTCCCCTGGTGCCCGGGGCGAAGCTTCCGAAATCTACTCCGTACTCGAGAATAATGATTCAAACTCATGATCGTGAATCGGGGGAAGAGGATGGGGGTTCTTCGTCCTTCTCTTCTTCTGCTTTTGTCTGTCTCTTGGTCTTGCTTATCTCTGGATTGGTCTAATTAGAATCTTCGAATCTTACCGAGATGTACCTAATCTACCTTGTTGGTAGTCAGTGGTAATTTAATTTGGTTTAGAGAGGGGCGGAGGGGCGGAGGAGGGAAGAACAGGAGACGCGCGAGAGGAACCTGCCGTGTGCCCCGTCCCAGTTTTAGCTAGTACTATGTAGTCTTTGCTGTTTAATATTGCTGTTGCTTGCTGTCGCTGATGATGATGATGATGATGATGATGATGATGATGATGATGTTGATGTTGATGTTGATCAATTGATTTCAAGGAATTGATGTAAGAGCAAGGACAAGAACAAGAACTAAAACTAACTACCCACAACTATGTAAGATTCTAGGATAAACAAATTGGACTCATTACATTCTGCTCTGGTACCTTACCGACGGGATGTGGATTGTTCAAAGCATGCACCTCTGCATGCATGGCTTATTCCCACTGTCTCAAAGTAATATTCACCTGCCTCTCCCCCCCCCCCATCCTGAAGAGGAGGAAGTTGGGAAGGAAGCACCATAGTATTTAGTGACACACACAATTGATGCCCCGAAACCGTCCGATAAACGCCCTTTCTCCCTTATCGCTTGGGGGCCCTTTTCATCCATCATCGCCCATCGGCGCCATCACCGCCCGGCTAGTTTCCACTAGTCGGTATTCCATACCAGATGTTACCATACCGACCAGGGGGGTGTGGGAAGGGAAAAAAGAGGGAGGAAAAGAAAAAAAAAAAAAAAAAAAAAAAAAGGAAAACGGGGCAGAATCCGTACCCAAGCTTGATCAAGAAGAGCCTTGAACAGCAGCATTATGTCCATTGTTGTTTTAGTATCCAATCAGTCTGTCGGAGTACAGATTTACCCCAATCGTACCAAATCAGGTTCAATCAAATCAACAAAAGGGGAGAAGTACATAATAGAAGAGATCATATAGAACAGAAGAATAGAAAATGATAAAGCATACCGTAGACAAAAGAAGAAAAAGAAAACCCCAAAAAATTAACGAGAAGGAAAAGGAAGGATCGAAGAGAGAGAAAAGGAGCCAAAAGGGACCCAGACCAGGACCGAGCAGACCGAGCCATCCCAAGTCTAAACTAATCCAAGCCAATCCAATCCATCGCCTCTGTAGTAGTAACTTACTGTATGTACTGTACCTAGCGGGCATGGTTAGGGAGTGCCTGAAAGAATGAGGGAGCGAGTGAGCACTGGCATTGATTGTACTGGCACTATTCCGTAACTAACACTACTGGCATTGGCACTGGCACTGCTTAGCGGGAGGACGAGGAGCAGCAGCAGCAGCAGCAGTAGGAGTAGTAGTAGTAGTAGTAGTAGTAGCAGCAGTAATAGCAGTAATAGCAGTAGTAGCAGTAGTAGCAGTAGTAGTAGCAGCAGCAGCAGCAGCAACAACAACAGCTTTGCTCCTCAGCCTCTAGCCTCCCTCCTCTTTCTCCCGCTTCCTCTTCTCTCCGCCTCGTTTTTCTCCTCTCTTCGCTGTCTTCTACTCTCCTTCTCCTTCTCCTCCTCCTCCTTCCTCCCTTTCGTTTTTTCCCTTTCTTTCCCCTGTAGGCAGGCCGTAGCAGTAGTTGGTTCATACCAATCGTGGTGTGTTCACTGCTCACCTCCGTCCTCAATTCTTCCATTCTCAAATCCTCCCCCCCCCCCCCAATCCTTTCCTTCCCTACGGCTTCGGCCTCTTGATTGCCATCCATCTCTTCGCCATCCGAGCCCTGCTGCTACTGCCACGCGCTTGGTCAATTTAAAGGGACTTTGCTTGGAATCTTTCTTTTATTCGATTATCTTGATCGCCTCAAGCGTTTCATTGCCGGATATATTCCTCTTTCGCGTACCGACGCATCTTTAAACCGTCAGTCAGCCTGCAGCCCCAGTGTCTGTCTTCTTCTTCTTCTCTCCCCCCCGGAATCCTTGGTTCTTCCCTCCCGTCACTACCAAACCAACTTCGCTCGACGCCGCTTCGCCGCCTCCCTCTTGCCCCCCTCTTCCGACGGTACTTCTGCAACCGTTTGGCACCACCTCCGAATCCTCGTCCTCGCGATCGTTCGAGTGTCTCTCCCCTGCCTTCGTCTGCACTCTACCGCAGTCGATATCTGCCCCAATCTTGTCACCCCTGTTCCCTGGGTCCCATCTTCATATGCAGGGTCGAGCTTGGTAAACATCGGGCTTGTTGTGAGACACCTCCCCGGACCCATCATCAAATTCGCATTTTCCCCATCCCCTCTCCCCTGACAAGCACTTGTCTGGTATCGCTGCCTGTTTTGCCTGTTATCCGATAGTCTCCTTTTTTCAATGTCTCAACTACTTCAATCCTCTCGGGCTAACCTCATGTGTGAAGTCAGTTCTCAAGTCCCCTGATCACCGTTCCCGATATCTGTCTTGTCTGCGGTCTCTGGCCTTCATTGTCCGACTTGTCCGACTTGTCCGACTCCCGCAGCGATGGCCTCCTCATCATCCAATGTCGTCGGTGTCCACTATCGTGTAGGGAAGAAGATCGGCGAAGGGTCGTTCGGCGTGATCTTCGAGGGAACAAATCTCCTGAACAACCAACAGGTGGCGATAAAATTTGTACGTGGTGCCGCGCACAGCTGCACAAAGTCTCTCCCCTCCATGTTGCTAATCATCAACAGGAACCCCGCAAGAGTGACGCCCCGCAACTTCGTGATGAATATCGGACCTACAAGATCCTCGTCGGGTGTCGTAAGTCCTTTCTGGTCCGTCCGCTCAGAATCGGGGCTAATACCGCGCAGCTGGCATTCCCAATGTCTATTATTTTGGTCAAGAGGGCCTCCACAATATCTTGGTCATTGACCTGCTTGGCCCTAGTCTGGAGGATTTGTTTGATCACTGCAACCGGCGATTCTCGATCAAGACTGTTGTCATGGTCGCCAAACAGATGGTGAGCTCCATGTTATTCGCTCCGTTTTCCATATCTCTAATACCTCCAACAGCTGTCTCGAGTCCAAACTATCCACGAGAAGAACCTGATTTATCGCGATATTAAGCCTGACAACTTCCTCATCGGTCGCCCCAATACGAAGGCCGCTAATGTAATCCACGTTGTCGATTTCGGAATGGCCAAGCAATACAGAGATCCCAAGACCAAGCAGCATATCCCTTATCGTGAGCGGAAATCGCTGTCCGGCACAGCCCGCTACATGAGCATCAATACCCACCTGGGACGGGAACAATCGCGTCGTGATGATCTCGAGGCGCTCGGCCATGTCTTCTTGTACTTCTTGAGAGGTGGACTCCCCTGGCAGGGTCTCAAGGCTGCCACCAACAAGCAAAAGTACGAGAAGATTGGCGAAAAGAAGCAAACCACTGCGATCAAGGATTTGTGCGATGGCTTCCCAGGTATGACTCTGTTGCGAGCTTCTTACCTTCCAATCAATGCTAATACCACGAACAGAAGAGTTCACGAAATACCTGACCTATGTCCGCAACCTCGGATTCGAAGATACCCCTGACTACGACTACCTCCGGGACCTGATGACACAGGCCCTAAAGAATACGGGCGATGTCGAAGATGGAGAATATGACTGGATGAAGCTCAACAATGGCAGAGGCTGGGAGTACAAATCGTACTCATCCCAGCAGCATCTCCACAACAACACCCTTCCCAACTCATCCGCGCGGGAGCTTCACGCTCAACAGCTCCGGGGTAGTCGACCAGGAGTGACTGCTGACCGTTTAAATGCGGCGCAGCCTCCGCCTCCATCTCCGGCCAAACCTGGTGCTGGAAAGACGCGCGATCGGCCAAGCGTGTCTGGAGGAATGGCCCCGAAGCGTCAGAGCGGAGGCCTCGATGCCACACCAGCGGCTTCGACTCAAGCCCAGTTCCAGAACTCGAATGCCAACATTTCCGGACAGATGGGCAGCCCTACAAACCCGGCCAAGACCAGCCAGCAAGGCCCCGGTGGTCCGGCGAACAATGAGCCGCAGCCTACATTCGTGCAGAAAATGATGAAGGCGCTTTGCTGCGGTAGGTGACGATCCTCGTCTCTCCGTTTGTCGCGGTTCCTATGCTTATTCCCGGTCTCCCTCCAGGTTGAGTTAAAAAAAAGCGGGACGCGAGCGATTTTGTACTTCTACGAAATATCCCTGTCATGTTGGCATCTTGACTTTCTCTTTCGTTATTTACCGTCTTCAACATCCTGGGGAGGTATGGCAGGCAGCATGCGATCATCCTAAGCAATAGCCCGAACACCTCCTTCCCATTCCATTTTATCGTACGTGCTCGGCTATGCCGACGTTGCTGCTGCTGGCAGAGGAAAATACGATCCTGGGTTTGGAGAGAGGGCTATATGTGTTTCTTTTCCTATGTCTGCATCCCTTGGGTTCTGGTGGGGTTGCTGAGCACTTCAGTTCACACACCTCACGCTTCTTCTCATGTGCCAGAGTTCTCTGTCTTCTCGCCTCGAAGAAGGAGGGGGCACTATTTCCCTCTCCCATCCGATAGAACGACTCTCCTACGCCCTCTCAACCTCCTTTCCCTCATCATTTCCATCAACACTCTTTCATGGTGCTACGGCTCGGAACGGCGAACTATATTAGTGATTTGCTCTCTCTTTCTTGTGTCTTTCGTCTCGCATCTTCGGTCACGAACCATTTTAATACTAGAGTTCCGTCTTGTCTTGTATCAGAGTACAAGATTGCACTGCTGTCTACCTCTCGGTCCCTTATCGCTCGACCACATGCACACACACACATTTACCTATTGCAACCCGACTTCCAACGCCCGCGTCTTTGCCACAGTGTGAGCTCACCTGACGCTGTTTATTGGTGGTAATCTCTATTGATATGGAAGGGGGCGCGACAAAGTGAGTGCAGCAGGCCGGGGTTATCTTCAGCATGGAGGTCACATGTGTGTGTTTTGTCATCGTGATCGATAAGGTTCGGAGTATTCTGCTTTATTTACACCGCATTTTAGCATCTATCCATGTGTTTGACTACGTGCGCATTCTCTTCATTGAGGGGTATGTTGTGCAGGACAGATGAAAGTCCCCTCCCATCATCGGTCAAAGGAGTTCATGCGATCAATTCAGGCGGCCTGTGGCTGTTTGTTTGTTTGTTTGTTTGTTTGTTTTTTTTTTCCATTTTCTAGTTTGTTGTTGTGATCTCATCTACTGGGGGACTCGAGTCTCAAGTTCCGGATATTAGACTCCGGTGCAAGCCGTGTGTGCGTGCGCGGCTGTGTGTGTGCTTGTCTTTCTTCACGGTAGCTCTTTATCGTTGGATTCTGTCGCCGTCTTCTTCTTCACTTGTGCTTATTTTCTCTGTCATTGTTGCTATCACCACCCTCCAGTCTAAAATTCAGCTGAGTTGATTTCTATCACACTTGTCGGAGCGTACTTGCATTGCATTATTCGATCCTGGCGACAGGGTTCGTTGTTACTGCCGGTCCTGGGGCGGATTCCCATCTACTTATCTACTATCCATCAATCTATCAATCCATTTATGTGTATGCCTGTTGGGTACATATCTCAGCCAATACTGGTCTGTGAGGTCGGGCTTACAATCAAGCATCCGTCACTCGTTGATTCTACTCGTCCGGACATCCCTCATGCAGGGATCGTAGTTTGGAAGTTGCAGATTGAAGTAAGCAAAGGCGCCTGGTACTCGGGACCCCTCAATGGCATACTGGTGGGTCGTCCGTTGGGCCCAGATCCATCAACTCTCCCAGTCTGCTTGATCCGACTCAGTCTTGCTCTGCTGGTGTGATGTGTGCAGTCCACAATGGACTATTTCGATGATGAGCTTCTGCTTCCCTTGGCTATCAACTCACCTCCCCAGGGAATCTACCTCATTACATGTACGTAGGCGGAAGCCCAACTGAATGCAAGATAGGAAGACAGTCCAGACTAACCTCAATTACATGTGGTAAAACAAGAGAGATCTCCGGTCACTTTCTGCTAGGGGACTCAGGTAGCCATTGAACCGAGATTCACCCTATATAGTCAACAGCTCTGGAACCAGTTGATGGTGAGGGGAGCGGGGAGGAGAGACTCTGCGCAGCTCAGGAATATAAATTAAGTCGATGTTTTGCTACTTCGCTGCCAGCGGGGGTTTTGCTGGGTGCATGCTACGGGGAACGACCCGATTGAGCTGGCTGTAAAGCATATGTCGTGGTGATGGATCATTCGACTGTTCTCTGCAGTGCCCTGTGGACTTGGTGCATTGCCTGTTTTGGATGTACGCATGGAATAGTACAGTAGGTGGGACTTGATTGGGGATGGAGCATAGTTGCTTGCTTGCTTGCTTGATGGTTGAAACATGATTCAGTGGGGGGTGGGGGAGGTGTAGGGCATATTGGGGGTCCAGGAATGCCACTGTCAACAACATGTTAGTATTCATCTCGAGTGCAGGGAGGGATGAGATCGTCAAGACGTCGCCGATTAGGTGGACTGGGAGGTGTCCTATCTCACAGCTGAACCTGAACCCGTGAGTCTCATTGGACCCTTTAGTAGTAGATGTATGTATATATGTGTATATATGTATGTCCCCCCTCTGTATTGCGCAGGACGTGTAGGAATAATTTCCCCACCATTTCTCCCAAAAGAATCTAGAATCTAGACCAGTGTGTGCATGACAGGCAGACATCATACCACCAGGACGTTGACTGTCCGACCAGTCTTTTCTTAATGCTAACAACTAAGGTAATTCGTAGTTGAAGTATAGTACTTGACTTACTTGCATACTGAATAGTAATATAGCTCGGTAGGTATGCCGATCATTCATCCTCTCCTCCTCCTCCTCCTTCCACTTTACCTATCTTATCCTGCAGAAATCCGGTCCACTGCTTAAGTGACGAATCCTGGTTTCGAAGTATGTCATGATCATAGGGGTGGGTGGGTGTGCGAGCGGATGATGATTATTACCGGCGGAGGAATTGTGGATCTGCTTGATTCGCACCTTGAGACAGACGTCAAAGGATGGTCGTCGTCCTTCGTATCCCATCCACGATGAAGAATAACAACAACAACAACGACGACTACCCTGCGGTACCTACGACGGAGTATAACAAGTACCTAGTCTAGGTCGTAATGTGACCAAGATCATGATATGCAGCTTGTGGCACCGCTTCCCCGCATGTGGAATGATCTTGTTGTTCATTGATTCAAGCTTGGCAAACCATTTTGTTCCTTTCTTTCTTTTCTTCTTCTTGATCTCTTCGGAAGCAAGGGACTCCGGATGGGGAATTCTGGATATATCTCGGCTCCGGATGAAGGTATACTACGTACTATGTAGATCGAGTATTGGAGTAAGTTAGCTGAGGTGTTGTGACAACTCGGAATACACGTCCCATCCACACTAGTACTGTCTGTCTGTACTGCACACCAAGAGTCCACCGGTAAACAGACCCATGAGCCCACTGGGAGCTGACAGCTGGCCCTTCATAACGTGGCATTCAATCAAGCCAGGGAGCGATGGGAGTGTAGGGCTTACAGGTCTACACGTGGCTGCGAGCGGGCCTTTTGATCTAGAGTCAAACATTTGCCCTTCTTATGAGTCTCACTAACGACGAAGGTGGTTTTCTTGTAACTCGCAACTCGGCGAGGGCAATTGAAGAATCACCGAATTGCCGAGGCGAGCGATGAGCTGCCAATTTGACCCAAAAGTTCTAGACAAAATGCCCACCTTCATCTGGCCAGAACCGTTTTGAGGAACTCGGTGGGCGGATACACCCGACAATCGTTCATACACGGGTTTGGGTTTGGGTGTGTGGGCTGACCAGTGACCACAGATGGATTTTTTTGTTTTTTTTTTTTTTTTACTCGGGTCTATGATTGCCCATCTCACTGCGTAAAACGTTCATGTAGTGCAACAGTTGATTAGGGCAGCAATGACTGCTGAATAGGCTACTACTAAGTATATACTCATAGTAGTAGACTCCAGTATGAAGAATCTGTACGGAGTATCGCCCCTTGAAAGGAAGGACCAGTTCCGGTTGCGGTTTAAGTGGTCCCGAGGTCGGCCACCGCTTGACCCGGTAAGGCTTAGTGTACAGTACAGCCAGTAAGCTTACTACTCCTACCACCTACAGTAACTCCGTACACTGATAAGGAACCAACCGCGCGTTGGTTCAACGTTTGCCGCCACCGCCTGGTGTTCTGGAAAGAGAGATCCTCTCTTATCTATCGGGCGTCCCAACGGAGGATTCCGGAATGTCTTGGGAAGGACGTGTGTGAGTGTGTGCCGGTGTCACGTCGGAAGTTGCTCCTTTCTGAAAGATCCTATGCTAGGCTGCTGCAACCGGGCTTGCTGAGTGGCAAATTTGGCGAGAAACGGGCTTCCATGTTCATTCTAGAACGGAGGAATTGGATGGTGATCCTTGGCTTCTGGCTTTTGTTCTTTGTGGGATGATCTTGCATAGACCCTGTCTAAGAGTATGAGTACGATACTGTACGCACTACTACACTGGAGGATCAGGGGATCAGTTGATGTGGCTTCTGCTTTGGTAGCCACTTAAACTTTTCGGGTCCTCCGTCTGGTTCGGCAGTACGTTACTGTACACCGAACATGGGTATGATGATCATCCAGAGATCGACGAGAGTTTAACGAGTAATTAACCTACCGTTGAGTTTCCGCAGGAGAGGAGGGAGGGTAGCAAAGGAGAGAAAGAAAGAAAACTGGGTGTGCGTGCGAGTCAGACTCGAGTAACAGAGTTTCCCCAGGTTCAACCGCCCTGCAACATGATCGGCAAGATGACGTGAAGGAAGGGGGAGGAGGTGTGGCTGGTTTGGAATTCACCCCCAATAAATCACTTGTAAACTTGGTTACTTTTGCCTTCCTCGCCCAGGTACTCTGTACTCTGTACTCTGTACATGTACATGTACTTCATGCCCAGTGCTCAATATCATCGACCTCGCTGGGAATGTAATGTGCCTCTAAGTTACGGATGACTCTATGATAGGCTCCAGGCTTCAGCTGCAGATCTTGTGCTACAACGACCCAGTCTTCGCCTGCGGTGTCACCCGATAGAACATTCTCTGTGGCTTCTCTGTCGCCTTGACGTATTGGTCTGACCAACGCCCGGTCAGTCCAGGTCGTACAGGAGAACGTCGAGACACACAAGGCCTTCCTCTCCGATTGCCGATTGCAAACAGGATGAACTAATCGGATGATACAGTGCATGTATAAGGTAAGTGGAGGCTATCCATTTTTCAAGGCCTGCCCACCCAGGTGAATTGGATTCCTCCCATCCATATTCCTCTACTACGAGTATCTCCAAGAAACGGATACTTGAAGCGTCTGTCTAGGTATCTATAACCGCCAAACTCAAACAGGCAACGCGTTGGGTTGGGTTGTGGTCCACTGTTTGCTCGCCAGACGCGCCAAAGAGATTGAATGGTGGAGCCTGAGGAGCGAGCAGTCGAGGACCCTCTGGTCTCGCCGGAAATCCTTCACCATCACTGGTATCAAGTCAACCCGTCTGACTGGCTGGTCAAGGGCGGGGGGAGGGATCTTATGTACTGTACAGTATGGACGGACCGAAATGCGCCCCTAGTCTACACAATACAATACAGACTACGTAGGGTCGCAGTCACAACTGTTAACATATGTGAGAACCTCTGGATCGATTACATAGTTGGCGCCGCAAGGGAGGGTGGGGCTAGCCCCTCTCCTTACACCCAGCATTCCTCGAAATTTCTTTACTTCTTCTGCTGGGTTCTGGAAAATCCATGTTTCCATTGTACTGTGTTCCTATGTGTATGTTGGTTACCATGCTACCTTCCATGCTACCATGTTGGTGAAGTCTATGCTACTTGGCAATCATATGGTCGGATCACATATCCGCTTTGGGCACCCCCAAAAAACAAACCCTTGAACCTATACGATTCTCGATTGCCTTAATGAGCCACTCTCTATGTACTGTAGTAAATCCTGTACGTGGTATGTAATATATATTGTATATGTTACACACCGTGGCACAGACACGGTCCTGCAAGCCTGCAGGCCCTTGCAGTAGGATGGCGACACTGGCCTGGGGAGAGCTACAAGTAGTCCAAGACTTTTAAGTTACTCTAGCTGGGTAGCAGGTAGCTAGCCTAGCTGCAGGCAGGGATGTTGGGCTGGTGTGGAAAGTGAAACCCACCACCTTCACCACCACCCCGTCTTTTTGTCTCTGTAGTCTTAGTAACTTTGTTGCAAGCCGGCTCCGGAGGTGGCGGGATTTTGACTGGCTGTCTCTCAAGTCTCACCTCTTTGTCTTGCTCGGGTAGTAGATCCACCCAGCTCATGATGATGATGATGATGATGATGATGATGATGATGATGATGATGATGAACTACCTAATTGATGATACGAGTACGTACTTCTCGTGCAAAGAAAGTGCTTTAGTCCAGCCCTTCCTGGGGTTGAGCACCATCGCAATGATCGACCGCCTGCCTCGATGACGGTTCTGGTCTACCAATCCGTGCTCATCTGGCACAATTGAGTGTCAGTATCGACGCTCTCTTCTCCTCTCCCCCTCGCACTCCATTCTCCTGTCCAAGAGGTTGCCTTCCAATCCGTCTCTTTCAGGGAGTACGTCCTGCCTTTCCCTCCCCTTGCCTATGGCTGCACAGCCTGCTTGGCATCATGCAGATCCTGCGCGGTTGGAGCCAATCAATGCGGGGGACAGACCCAGTCTGCACGGCCGTCGTCAGGCCGTCGTGCGCGCCTAACGAGGAGTCGAGTCGACTCACTCGACCGACCGGAGACTGCCTCTCCGGTCCGGATCCGTAGTCAAGGCCTACAGGCAGGGGGACTATGGGGATGGCAGGTGCACGCTTCTTGGCCCCGGCGTATTGTATGTATGTATGGATGTATGTATGGATGTATGTATGGATGTATGCATGCAGGCATGTATGTTTGTCCATGGCCTGATTTTCCGATGCAATGGATCGCGGAATCCTTCTGGGGAATCGCCATGTGTTTTAGGTACTATATATGTACTGTTCATTCTACATCAGTATCTACGGCATTCGACAAGGGAACATAGCACAATTGAGTCACTAGTGACTGAGATCAACCGTACTGGGATATATGATGCGAGCCACGTAAAGAGGAGGGAGAGAGAGGTAGGTATAGTTGTACTGTTGTAGTTATACTCTGTACAGGACTCCGTACTTCCACAGTCCAGCGGAGTCTGCCCGTCACAGTACCCGACGATCCAATCCTGTCCAGACTAGCACACATGCCTCGCCACCTTTTCTTCCCTCCAAATCCACTTCTTAGCCGCTTCAGCCAAGCCTGATGGGATGGATGCTTGAGATCAGACAGAGCTTTGCTGCAGGAGGACGTCCGAACGTCCATACAAAAAGCTGCTCGAGGCCCTCCCCCCGTTCAGCGGGCGCTTTCAAACGGTTTGATATCACATCCTACCTTCCAATTGAGTTCAGGTCCATTGGCCTCATGCGATAGAACCTGTTTGAAAGCCGGCCCCTTCTTTGAGAACATCAGTTGAATCCTCCACGCATCAGGCCTGTCGCGGTGCTGTACGAGAGTAACAGCCGACGGACATCTGCTGCCCTGCAACTCTGCAACCGACATAAGCTCCGCGATCTATCAGATTCCCTCGGCCAGGGCTGAGCGATTTATCCTCGTTGCATCTGCACCGTTGGTCATATTGACCTTGGAACGCGCGTTGTTGCGGTGCTTCTTTACTTACCCCTTGCTGAGCTCGTCTTCTTGCATTTGGAAATCACGCACGGTAAGTGGAAGACGATCTTTTCTTTGGATGTTTTCTAGAACACAGCTGCTGCCTTATTCTCTGTTGATCTTCCATTCTTCTTTGTTTCGTCCTTGGGAGGTTTTTTTTTTTTTTTCTTTTTTTTTTTTTCTTTGCCCTGTGTTTTCAATGCTGGTTTTCCTGTTGCGACCACGGTGCGCGCATTGTTTCACACATGCCTTTCTCTCCATCCCCATCCCGCCCAGCTCCAGCTCCACTCCATCCGCAATTCTCCTCACTGGTGGGTGTTGAATCTTGAATCGGACATCGATCGACGGGTCAGCCGAACAGCATCGTCGTCACTGTTTATTTTGCACTTTGACCGAAAAAGATAAACTGGGAAGCAGTTGTGGTGGGAGTGGAAGAAAGAGAGTGGAAAGGATCGGACCGAGTCACACCGAAGGGCGAGAACATACTGTAGTACTCAGTCCTCGAAGCCGAAACAGGCGCTGGTTCTCCACCAGTCTGCCTGCCCGGTTCCCTTCTGCATCTCCGAGACGAACCGTCCGTCCAATTTGGCACCGGCAGAGCGATCTCTCAGACCGAAGGAAAGACAGACTCCCAAGGTGTTGTGTTGTTGGTCGCTGTGGAGCCATCCACAGCTGATTTTGAATGACGAAGATCCATTCCCCTCCCCCCCACCTTTTGAGGCTTCCAGATCCTGTTCCAGTTTCGGGTCGTCAGTCCCTCTCTCGACTATTCCACAATCATTTCAGTACTCTGAAGCATGACGTGATTCCGTCATTGCAATGATGATGATGATGATGATTACCATTACTTGCTCAGGCGCGTAGTGGTCGGGACTGACTCAGATCGTGGGGCTTCTTGGGAGGTGGGAGGTTCTCGCTTCATCAACTACTCCGTATTGTATGAGGAGAGTTTCAATGGGTCATAGTCATAGATGCTGTTGGTGATCTGCCCGGAGTACAGTACTACTCCTATGAGGGTGTACTGTACCTGATTATCATCCATTCTTATTCCTCATATCTGAGACCTCAATTCAATGGTTTGGGACTGATTGGCCTGCTGAGAGTCACGGGGGGGGGGGGGGGGTTACTTCTGCCATCATCAAGCGAAATCGGCGTGGTGACCCCACTTTGGTGGACATGATTGGACGAAACCACGATCGACCGGGTGGGAAAAGTCTTGTGAGGGAGGAAGGGCAGCCAGCCAGTGAGCTTGCCAGTTTCGCCAGTTAGCCCCATTCCTGGCCAGCCAACGTGGTTGCGTTCCAGCTGTCTCTTGAGTCCTTGACTTGACTCTCTCTCTGCCTTGGTTCTTCTCCCTCCCCCTCTGGTCCCTCTGGTCCCCGCCTCGAACCTTTCTTACTCAATCCATCCACATCCAATCCAGATCTTTTCTCCCTGTGGCGTCATTCATCCCTTCTGCCTTCCTTCTTGGTTCGAGATTTCTAATTTGCTTCCTCTTGCCGTTTTCTCTCATTTTTCATTTTTCAAATTTCTTTTTTTTTTTTTGCCGAATTTGATTTTTCTTTCCCCGACCAGTACTGATTGATGTGCAGGCAGGCCTTAATTCCACATTTGATTATTTTTCCTGTTCTCCCCAAATTCTTTATCTCATTATCTCACTAGTGTTCGTTCATGTTTGTCTGTCTGATTGCCTGTGTCTTCTCTCACTGTCTGTATGTTCTGTCCGCCTGTCTGCTGCCTGTCTGCTGCCTGCCTGCCTTCCCTTTCCTTCCTTAATCCTTCTGGAATTCTACACTTCCTTCCACCCTCCCCCTGTCACCACAAATATCCTTCCCCTCAAAACTAATCAATCCTTTGTCTGCCAAACAGATCTCATTCTTTCACTTGAGTCTTACTCAAATCTGAGATCCTTACTCACTGGATTGTCTCCCCACCCCTCTCTTTTACTCAGCACTCAGCGCGCCCGCCGGCCTCACAACGCAACACCACCGCTGCGCCGCTGCCTTTCATTCCATCCACCGTTCTTCCCGCTCTCACCCGCCGGTACTCGCTCTCATTACCAAGCCTGGTTCTTGATCCGCCAGTGGCTGGTAGCTGGTGCTCGGCCCAAATACGAACAGACCCTGGGAAATCTGAATCCTCGACAAAGTCCGATTGCGAGCCATTGACGAGCCGTTACCCTCCCCCCGGGACACACAACCATTCTTCCCTGTCACAACGGTTTTACAGTGCGGGGAGGATTCCAGGGCTGTCGCTACACTCGGTCATCTTACCCCACGAGTCCTGTTACACCCTGGACGCGATGCTCAAGAAGAGGACTTTACATCCTCCCATTCTCTTCCGGCATCACACTCCCACCACAACGCCTGAACTCTCGCCGACGACCTCTTCATCGGACAGCGAGTCGGACGAGGACATGGACTCCCCCCGTCCGCGTCCGCTAAGTCTGACCGTACCTCCTGGCGCATTTTGTCCCATGCGTCCCTCTTTAGATGAGGTGCTTGCGAACACTGCCCCTGCACCCTACACCCTCAGTGCCTTCATGGCCTATCTTTCCCAGAATCATTGCTTGGAGACTCTCGAATTCACCCTGGAGGCGAAGCGGTACCGGGAAACCTACAACGCTCTGAGTCGCCAACTGAACCAATCTCCCATTGCCAGTGAATGTCCCGAAAGCCAACACCTGCGCATGCTCTGGCAGCGACTGTTGACAGCCTACATCATTCCTGGTTCCCCGCGTGAGATCAACGTCTCCAGCGAAGTCCGGGAAGATATTCTTCGATATGCGAATCAAACGCCCCCGCCGCCCCCCGAAATCCTCGACCTGGCCGTGAAACTCGTACACGACTTGATGGAAGAGTCGATCTTTATCCCATTTCTGAACGCTCACGCCGCCGCTGCTCACGTTTTCCCCTTATCCGAGCCACTCTTCCCCCACGAGGACGTCACTGTCGTCTCCAATGCGAGTCTCGACGATCACACGGTTAAGCGGGTGCGTTCGAAGGGTCGCCGCTTATCGCCCCGTTCCTCCAAAGACTTAGGCTCCCCGGTCTCCGTCGGGTCCCCGACTGGCCACTCCACCCGGTCGAACTTTTCGTTGAGTGCGATGACTTCATCCTTGAGCAAGGCGGGCCATCGCACCTCAAGCCATGTTACTAGTGCTAGCGGCGAGTCCGCATCGGGCAGCGCGCTAACGGATGATTCGGGAAGCGTGCAGTCGAATGTTAGTGCAGGCGAACCGATGACACCGCCGACGACACCACCCTCGAGCGATCCCCATAGTATGCAACTCGGTCACAGCCCGAAACGGTCCGACAACCCTTGGAAGAAGATGGGCATGAAGTTGGGTTTCAAGAAGCGCTCTGGGAACGGTGGTTCCGGCAGCCATCACTTCAAAGTATCCGGCATGGACGAATGACTGGCCGTCCGAACCCCGCAAACAAGGCCTGCCCTACACCGAAAGCCGGGAACTTTCTGGCAGACTGTGAAGCTTTGCTGCTGTCCCCTTTGCGGATCACAGCCTTTACTCCACCCCTGATCAAGCACCCTGGAGGTGTACCACGAAACGGCTACCATCTTTCCACGCTCTCTCCCTCCGGTAGACCGGACGCCTCCGAGCTCATTCCTCGAACGTTTACATTGTGTCTACGACTGGTCCCTCGATTCCTTCAGCGAGCATTTCCATTCAGATATGAGCACGAGTGGATGGCCACGATGACGATGTAATGCCCGTGCATATCTGGTTTTTCATGCTTCCAACCGGGAAAGCATTCCTAGAAGAGGCGTCTTGCCATCTTCCCGTTCTTCTCTTTTTTTTTATGTGTGTGTGTGTGTGTGTGTGTGTGTGTGGTTTGCTCAAGCCTGCGAACGATTTAGCGAGCATCTTGATATTCTGTGTCAACAAAACTCATATAGACAGGGTCCAAAACGGTGTGGCATTCGGAGTTTTTTTTCCCTGGCGTTTTTGTGCTGTCGTCTGGCTTTTGGTCGTGATGTGATGTGCATGAGTTTATGGTTTCTGGATCATGAGGTACTGGCAGAGGCCATATGCCGGGTTTCTTGCAATTACCCTTCTGTATTCTTTTGTGTTATCTCTTCTTGTTTGAGTATGGCCATGCATGGTTTGCATAGCACGGGGTTTGCATTAGCATCATTAGCATTAGCATTAGCATTAGCATTAGCATTAGCATTAGCATTAGCATTAGCATTAGCATTAGCATCACTGTACTGGAAGTCAGACAATAGATACCCATGGTTTGATGCATTGTCAACGTTGCGTGTTTCTTGTGTAGTCTCCTGGACGATCATATTCTTTAGCGGAAATTACAGCAAGCTGTAGAGACCCTGTGCCCCTGTGCCCCTGTGCATGAGCATCCTGTCGCTGCGTCAGAGAAGAGAGGAAAATGTGGAAGGCGTTGGGGCCGAGGGCTATTTAGAGCACTGTACACATGTACAGCACAACACGGAATCACGTGCAAATCTGTGACGGCTTCTGCAAAGCATCGCCCATCTCAATTGGGTTAGACTGGAACAACGAGACTGCGCTCGAGCTCGAGGCACTGGCCCTCATCTTTCTCTTGAGTACGGAATCTAGCGCTGATTCTAGGTGTTCGTCATACCAACTGGAAAGGGCAGGTCGATACGGTCCAGTCGGAAGCTTTCGAGCCACCCCAGCTCGGGACGTTCCAACATGGGCATATAGCAATAGATGAGGCGTTCAGACCGGGATCCATCCAATGCAGGGGATTTTGTCCTCTTTCCGACTCTTTGTGGTACTGTTGGGGGAACCTGGGACATCATGACTCTGTTTACGAGAGGCGAGGAGAGAAGTCGTTCACCAGGCGGGCACAGGCACAGTTGCCAGGCAGCACTGGCGAACTATTATTGCTGGTGATTGTGATTGACTGCATTTTACTATCAATAGACTCTTCTCCCCGACTTCGTCTCCAATGCCCGGATGGTAAGATCCCACCCTGCATCTTCGAGGGCGGCCATGTACCGCTCGAACCGGCCGTCTTCATTCAGGAAGGACAGTGTGCGGTGGAGAACGTCGAGAATGGAACTGATGCTCCCGTCCATCTCCGGCTGGCCCCCTGTCTCAGATGAGTTTGCTCCGGGGGAACGGGCGTGACTGCAAGAAAGAACCCGTGCAGCGAGCAAGGCGTGTAGCCAGCCTTTGAGCTGGCTCTGCGGGGTGCAGCTGGATTTCAGGAGGATGTTGGCGTGCCATTTGCCCTTCAAGCAGCTCAGGAAGAGGATGTAGTGTTCGTCTGTGAAGAGAATAGAGAGTTGCGGGAGAGGAATATTAGTCTTCAGGGATTTGGAGGAATGGGTGGGCCTAAGGGCGAGGGAGGAGAAGGAGAAGAAGGAAGGGGAGGAGGAGGAGGAGGAGGAGGATGGACTGAGGAGAAACTGGCGAAGGGAGACGCCGATTCGGCAGGTGCCGATGCTCAACCCAGCTTGAAAGTGGTGTATGGCGGCGGTGCTGGTTGGGACTGGAGATGACCATCGGAGAACGCCGTCTGTCTCGAAGATCCTCTCCTGTTTGGCGACTTGAGATGGCGTGAGGATTTGCAATCGGTCGTAATCCGCCCTCGGATTATGTGGGGAGATTGTTGTCGTGGGGACGAGTGGTTCGCTGTGAGTTCTGGTGCTAGTGCCGGAGTCCTGGTCCATCAATTGCGACAAGTCCCCGTCGGTATTGAGAATGGTGGAGAAGACAATGTTCGCCCGCTGCCTGTTCAGACTCGTCATTTGAACGGAGCGGACGGCTGCATAGTTCAGACCCAAATGCAGGGCCAAAAGCATTAGGAGGACGATCCATGTTGCAGCGAAACCTGTCACATGCGAGACAACGAAGGACCCAACCTTTTTTATTGTAACCTGTCAGTTAGCGTTGTTATGCATGCGTGGATGCATGCATGTAGCGTGCAGGGTAGGGTGGGATCAGTGGGGAGGGAGGGAAGGAGGAGCGTACCAGCATGCCAACGAGAGAGATGATGGTCTCCTGAGACGAGTCTTTCTGATGTTGAAAACGATGTTACCTCTCTTGACCTAGGACATAGAGACGGGCCACCACAAGGGTGAGCTGTGCGCACTACTTACAGCATTGACCTCCGCTAGGTTGCCCCATCGAGAAAAGTGCGCACTCAAGCTCGCCTTGGAACTTCCACCTGCGACGCCGCAGAGGGCACGAAGAATGCCTGCTGTGCTGAGTACGAGAACTCGAAGAGCACCCGCTGGGACCATGGGCGAAAGACAGTCCAAGATCATGGCCGCATCGTTGAAAATGTCAGCAGCAAGCCGATACATCTTACATTCTGGCTCGAGCGCGGTACCGATCCGATGCGCGAAGAGAATGGTGGCGATGCGGCCAGATGAGTCTTGGAGGATATGAAGGAGTAGAGCTGAAGTAGGTGATGCATCAGCGTTGCCGACACCCACGCCTGTAGATTGTTTATTAGTATTTACCCTGTGATTGTGGCAGCGCGAGGGTTTATGCGGTATGACCAACCTTGTAAGACGGCTCTGGATGACAGGAGGCCTGCGATAGAGCTGCTGAATGCTTGAAGGGAGTCCTAATGAACCATGGTCAGTCACACCGTGAATGAGGGCGTGTATCGATGTCTATGCTGGAAATAGATCGCTTGCGATGGACGTGGTAAACACAAACATACAAAGATCTGGTAGCTGCAGTTCTTGTTAGTCAGAATTCAGAATCATGATCTAGACCAATTTATCAGACTTACGGGGTGTAGTCTTCAGTGACACTGTGCGGGTATCCAGTGGGGAGAAAGACGTCCGCAAGGGTGTCCAGTAGTGCCTTCGAAGACCATGAAGTTGTTGATAAGCTGGAGGGATCGTGCTGGCAAAAACCAATCAGTTCACATGTCAATTATAGCACTCGATAGCCTTCACACAAATATAACCAGGGAGGGCGATGCTGTTTCAACTGACCAGAAGATCTATGCGCCCGCTGTTTGCACGGGCGTTGGCATGCTCCAATGGCAGAGACTGAGTTGATTGAGTATAGACATAGGTGGCTGTAGGATGGTTGGCTTCGTCCACTTCGTTGAAGGTGATGGGTTCCGAGCCCCTGTTGAAGGCCATCCTTTTTATGGGAAAAGAAAACAAAAAGGAAAGTTTGAACCGACCAGGAATTGGAATTCTGGGGTTGAGCGGAGGTGGTGCAAAGTTCAAAGTGCAAAGAAGATCAAGTCAATGTATGTTGGTTAATTGGAGGTTGCTTGCGCGGTCGAGACCGACGACGCTAAGGCCCCTGCAGCAGCACGTGCAAAGAGGTATCTATATATGTATACGGAGTATATATACTCAATACTTTCTTTAACCATCAGTAACCCTGACATCCTTATAACTCCATCTCTACGGTAGATCACGGAGTTGAAATTAGGTATCATAGAAGGCTGTAGAATTCTGGATTCATAATTGAATCCCACTGATTGGCCTTCCCCAAAGTCTCGTTATAGAGACCAAAGCATCTCCGCCCGTGTACAAACCCTATTTCCAGCAGACTTTTCAATCCGGATCAACGAACTCAGCTATACACAAAAGTCTGAATAGATCTCAATAGAGCTCATCATGTCCCAAACAGACAGAAAAAAGATTATCCCACATGTAGCAAGCACGCCCCAAAAGAAGAACAAAAATCCTAAACCGCTAAGCATGAAGACTAGCAACCACCAGCGCCATGTTCGAATCAGAGAATGAGAGAAGCAGAGGCGGAAAGAAGAGAGGAGGGACCAGATCAGCCTCCAGGCTGGGCATGCCAACTGAGTGACCCATCACAGGTATGCGACAGTGCTTCCGGTCCCGAATAAAGTGACGTGCAAGTTGAGGTGATGCGAGGGAAGACGGTGACCCTCACGGAGTCCCTGGTAGTCCTTCCTGACACGGGCGCGCAGGTGCCGTGGCCCAGGCCACGAGTCTCTCATCGCAACGTGACATCATTTGTCGTGCATCCCGTCAATGTTAAATGACCTTTATCGTCGCGTCATCTCCTCATTGGACATTCTTTGGCATCTAGGCGAAAAGGCTAGCACCACCGGTTTCAACGGCCTCAATCTCGGCCTCGGTCCAGGGCAGACGGTGGAAACGGGAGGGCAGCTCAGCACGGTCGAAGAATTCGCCCTGCTTGGGGTGGATGGGCCCCAGAGAAGCGCCCGAGGCGCGACCGATGCCCTGGGAGAAAGAGGCACGGCCCAGGGGACCATGCTGCTGAGCCTTGGAGCGATAGGCGGCGAAGGAATCGGGAAGGACACCAGTAGGAGAAGCCGGGTGAGCACGAGGAGTGTGGTCAATGGACTCTGGTAAGACGCGCGTTAGACAATTGGATCCGTGAAGAAGTCAGACAAGACGGAGAGACCAACTAGGCACAGAGCGCTTTCCGAGGAAACGGATGAGAGGGGTGCGAGCAGCGTTACGGAGGACCATGGTGGCGTGCATCGTGATGGTGTAAAATAAGAATTTTGATCGGGTTGTGTCGACTGGAGAAGAGGTCTAGGGAGAGAGAAAGAATGGCGTGTTGAGCACTCGAGGGAGCTTTCCGGGACTGTCCGAAGCGACCGATGTGGGCGATAAAAACCGGGTGGAGAAATGAGTAAGGGCGGGAAATTGATCGTAGGTACGGCAAGTTGATAGATTCCAGGAATGATCTGAAGGCAATTATATAGGCAATCGGCGAGAGAGGACTGTAAGTATAGAGGAGGAGGAAGATTGAGGGGTGGAAGAGAGGGATTGAATTAAGTGAAGACGGTGGAGGAGTAGGAGGAGGAGGAAGAGGGGGGGG